GGGCATTGTTCCAGGAAAAGGAGAGCCTGGCTGGGCAGGCTGCTTTTCCCTTTTAAGTCGCATCAAGTAATTACTCTGCTTGCTTGTAGGGTTGGGCCTACTATCTTTATTCTCTCTCCAGATGGATGGGAATTGCTTTTTGCGGGTTTTTTCCCTGTCTGGTTTATTTTTATTTCGCCACCTGTGCCTAGCACAATGCCTCCCTCAAAGAGAGCCTCCAATGGATGAGTGAATGAATGGACTGAGTTAGTGGGAAGCAGCAAGCATTGGTTTCTGTTTGGCTTTACCTTGAAATAAGCGGTTTCAGAGGTCTGGCCCTGGGAGCATCTCAGATACCCAGAACTTGACTTTTTTTTTTTCTTCTTCTGTGCTTTGAGATATCGTGAGGGGAGTAAGACCCTCTCCATCCACATCCCCAAGAGGAGAGAAAACCAGATTATAGTTTTGATGTCCCCTTTGCGGCTTAGGGTCTAGAACATACCAGAGCTGGTTCTGGATCTCAGGGAACCAGTGTGGCCAATCAGCTGCCAAGGCCATGACTGATTGTTCTGTGGATGAATAGAGGGATTGAGGGTGGGAGCTTGTTCTTATTTTTTAAATACCCATAGGACATAAAACTCCTTCAGCTCCCCGAGACTGCTAGGTAGTGCATTTATTTTGGATGGCTTTTGTGGCACACTTCCTCTTTCAAGTGAACTCTTTGGCTGTTGGTGATTTCTGCATCTCCTTCCGCCCTCTCTCTTATTTTGATGTGCCTCAAAAAAAGTCAGCCACAAAGGCCAACACTTGCTACAGAAATGCCATTCTTCCCTGCTTCTGCACGGGCATCTCCTCACAGCTTTGACTCAGGGTCTGCTGAAACAGCCCTCAACCTTTTTTTTTTAAGATTTTTTTTATTTATTCATTTGAGACACAGAGATACAGAGAGAGAGCATGAACAGGGGGAGAGGCAGAGGGAGAGGGAGAAGCAGGCTCCCCGCCGAGCCAGGAGCCGGATGTGGGGCTCAATCCCAGGACCCTGGGATCACGACCTGATCTGATGGCAGACACTTAACCATCTGAGCCACCCAGATGCCCCAGCCCTCAAACTTTTTAAAAGAAAACAGATTTGGGTGCCCGTAGTGGTTTGGGTCCTTGGGTCTGTGGTCACACCCCCCAGTGATCCTTTGGATGGTGGTGTTGGCCACATACCTGAACTGGGCCAGGGAGTTTTGCTAACTGATATTAAGGCTGAATTTGAGAAGGGTCCACAAGATGGATTAACATGATTGAGAAAGGCCTCATCCTCCCTCCCCTGGTCACACACACTATCTGGAGCAATCCTGTATAATACAAATACAACACCTGCCACATGAATAATTTAAAATTTCCTAGTAGCTACATTTCAAAAGAAACAGATGAAATGAGCTTTAATAACATTTTTTTACTTAACCTAGTAAGTCCAAAATATTGTCATTTTAATGTGTAATCAATATGAAAGTTATTAATGAGCTATTTTACATTCTTTTTTTGGTACTAAGTCTATGAAATTTGGTGTGTACTTAACAGTTACAGCCCACCTCCATTTGAACTAGCCACATTTCAAATGCTTAGTAGCTACATGTGACTCCCAGCTCCCATGTTGGATAGCACAGCTCTAGACTTCCCAGGTGAGATGGAGAGTGGTTATTCTGGGCCCACTCTAACCTCCAAATTAAGCTACCCAACCAGCTGAATCAAGATGAAAGAGATGGGCAACTATACCCCCCGCCCCCGCCCAAAAAAGGGAAAGAGATGGGGAGGGATGGAATGTATTTAAATCTATATCTATCTATAGCTATAGAATATCTGTAGAGCTTTAGAGATGGGATTTTAAAAGCGTCTTGATGTCACAGTCAGCAAGAAGACATTTTTTGGGTTTAAGTAGTTATATGGTTCCTAACTGAAGTAGTCTGATTTATTATTTTGTTCTCATGAAAGTTGTTCTTTGGGGCGCCTGGGTGGCTCAGTTGGTTAAGCGACTGCCTTCGGCTCAGGTCATGATCCTGGAGTCCCTGGATCGAGTCCCGCATCGGGCTCCCTGCTCAGCAAGGAACCTGCTTCTCCCTCTGACCCTCCCCCCTCTCATGTGCTCTCTCTCTCGTTCTCTCTGTCTCAAAAAAGAAAAAAAAAATCCAGAAAGTTGTTCTTTGTTCATTCTTCTCGAATTCATGAGTTTAAAAAACTAAACTTGATAGATAGTTTTACTTTTTGTAGTGTCTTTTTGTTCAGATCCCCTACATTCCTTATGCCATCAGGAAAGAATTAAATATCTCAATAAAAAATGATAATCAACATGTATTGAGAGCTTGCTATGTGCCAGACACTTGATACGTGTCCTGAAAAAGAGCCATATGAAGTAGGTTCCATCATTATTGCCATTTTTCAGATGAAGAAACTGAAACATTCAAGTTGCTAAGTAAACTTGACCAAGATAACCCAGCTGGTAAGTGGTGAACTTAGGCAAGTGGATTTGAAGGCCCACACCTCTAACCATATATACTACTTCTTTGCAAAATTAATGTAAAACTTAACATTCTCCAGAATTGTTCAAGATTCCAGTCTCCTTTAAACATGTCCACTCTAAACACCCTTGCTTTTGAGTGTTCTGACAAAAAATATATGTCTTTTTGTGGGGTGGGATCAGTACATTTTAAAGTCCTATTTGGAAAATCTGGCCTCACTGCAGAGGGATCAGGCCATTTGCAAACTGACAGAATCTGCCTTACCATTGGCAAAAAAATAACTTGATCTGTTATGTAAAAACCAAAGTTAAGATAATAACTCTTACATGTCTTAGAATTATAAAAGGTAGATTCACAACAATTCTGTTTACTCAAAAGTCATACCACTGATAGACTTAAAATGACATTCCATTAGATTATAAAAAACATGCGTATCCTACTTAAAAAAAATTCTGTCTTTAATTCATTATTTTTTTCAGTTCAATCATTATAAAATGCAACTTAAGTGTTTAAGTTCTAGGTTAAAATTTCTCAAAGTGAAGACGGATCTGATCTGCCATTTTCAAGTGTGCCAGGTAGTTAGGAATTATGCTGGTTTCTGCATCTGGGCCTTAACACATAAATAATTATACATGCTGAGAGTCTATATATTTTTTAAATTTGTAATATGAATTTGTCTTCCCTCTCCTATTAAATTGTAAGCCTCATTCAGGGTAGGCTCCACATTTCCTGCTTCCTTTATCAAGCTGTGTATATTAAAATATGCTGTTGTCTTCCAGTCTGAGTTGCTGTGGTTTTGATACCTCAAAGAGGTTGGTGGGAGTTCTGGCTGATACTTCAAACTCATCGTAGTTCTTGGGTCTGAATACAGTTCTTGCTTTTTGATGTTCTCAAACCCCATCCCAGGCCAAGAACTAGCTTCTGAACCATTCCCTTGACAAATAAGTAAGAAAGGGATTTTTAAAACTTTAATTTTAGAAAAATGGATAACTTATTTTCAAATGCCAAGATGCTGTGCAAAGGAGTTACAAAGCAATCTATAGGACTCGCCTATGCTATTACTAGGCAGAAAGGAGTTAAAAATTTCAAGTCTTACACACATACCCATTCAGCCTTGTGCTGTTTTCTGTAACTTGAATAGTGTATAGAATTGAACTCTGAAAGTCCTGGAGCTTTATTTTATTATTATTATTATTATTATTATTATTATTATTATTATTATTATTATTTAATTCATTGCCTTGAGGAGCCCTGAGAAAGGAAGTGAGAGGGCACAGCTCTGAAGAACTGGCAATTTGGCATCTCCTCTCCCCCTTTCACCCCTCCTCCGCTATTTTAGCTATTTGACCTGATTAAACAACTTTGGGATGTTAGCCAGATTTCTGTATGCTAACGAGGCCCCTATTCATGATGTAGTGAGATTTCATCCACCGGGAAGCTCGGGAGCTTCCCGGCTGCTCAGTGGAAGCCTGGCTTCACAGAAGTCTCCCAATTTTGTCAGGGGTTCGCTAGTGAGGAGTTCACGCTGACTTGGAGCAGACACAGACTCGGGTCATACCGGATTATTCCCTAGCAAATTTTTCCACCTTGTATCTAAGTAGTGAAAAGTGACGCCAGAATCGCGTGTGCTACTCCCCGAAAGAGACTCTGGCAACACCTTCTGTCTAGTTACTCTTTCCTAGTAGCAGAAAGCGTTTCCAAAAGTTTCCTTAAACCTCGTCTGTCCCTAAGCCTAAAGGTCAGAGCGCCAGGTCCCACTTGGCTCCCCAGCCGGCCGGAATCTGATCGTTTCAGAAGTTTCTGCGGTGTGTGTAGATGAGAAGTGGTGGTAGTGGGGAACCGCGCCGAGTGACCACCGCGCATTACGTAACGAAAGCCCTGGCTGCAAGAGGGAGCGAGCCTGACATTGAGACATTCCAGGGGGAGGGGAGTTGCTGTCCTGGAGTCGCCAGGAACGGCGGCAGCAGTTCCAAGAACAGAGAGAGAGAGAGAGAGAGAGAGAGAGAGAGAGAGAGAGAGAGAAGGTGGCTGAGATAAAGAAAACACTACGGGAATGAGAATGTTAAAAAGCCTTAGGACCCAGAGCATTAGCAAACGGCTGGGCACGTGTAGTAATTTGTTAGACGAAACGGCAGCCTTCCAACTTTTGCACGGGAACAAGGGGATTTGCCCTTTGGGGGATTAAAAACGTAACAGCAAAGCCAAAAGCTAATGAATGGGGTTCAGTGGTTTGTTGGCAATACTTAAATATTTCTGTCCAGGAGCGCAAACTCTCTGCAATTATTCAGAAAGTAGGGGCTCAAACCAAACTAGAATACTCTCCCGTGCGTCTCCACTTTTCCAAATCCGAAAAGGAGCTGCTCGCGCGGTACTGCCCCTTTAAGACCTGCTTGCTCTCGGGCTCTACAAAAGGGAGTGACCTCTGGGCTTTGACAGCTCCCCTAATAACTACCACCGTGCAGGCCCCGCCCATCTGGCGACCAGCAGCGCCAATTGGCCAGCGGGCCGGTATCCCGTGCTCTGATTGGCTCGCCGCTTCCCCTGAGCGAACCTTTAGAACTCTGAGACAGACAATATTCTGTTACATTGTAGCAAAATGGCGACTGTCATTCACAACCCCCTGAAAGCGTAAGTAAGACTAAAAAATGTACATATTCCGCCTGGTTTCAATATGAAAAAAAAGGCGCCTTCCGCGTGCCGAGCGCTGCCAATGCACTGCGCTTTCAGGCGCCTGCAGCCGCGGCGGGGCTTCTCTTTTCTTTCAGCTCTTACTTCTTCATCTTCTTTTTTTTCCCCCCAACGCGCAGAAATGTCAAGAGATGCAATTAACAAGAAGAAAATTGTTACATTTGTGTTCTGCTTAATTGGAGGACGCACCGAGAGGGGTTTTCGGCAGGGGAACCAGGCGCTCGAGCGCTCTACAGGGGGGTCGTGGGCAGCTCGGGGACAGCACGGTCCCCCGAGTGCCCGGCCTCGCGGGGCGGCGAGCGCGGCGCGGGGGGGCGGTGGAGCTGGGGGCGAGCGCCGGGCAGGGGCCGCCTGGGTGCACTTGGCTGAGCCCCGCGCCTCCTGAGTCCGCAGCCCCTGTCCGGCTGCTGGGTCCGCCGGGGCGAGCGGACCGTGGCAGCTCCGGAGTTTGCAGGGCGCTTTACGCCTTCCGATCGCTTGCGGGGAGTTTGTGCAAACCTTCCGGAGTTGGGAGGACCGCAGGGGGAGCAGTAGGTCCCGGGAGCCCTGCGGCCCAGGTGGTTGCCCGGGGCTTTCCTGCCGGGGCAGCCCCCCCGAGCATGACGGCGCTTCGGGCGGTCACCGGTGTGTCTGTGTGTGTTTGTGGGCGAACTGGCTGTAGTATATTAACGACTCGGGTTAACTTGGGGTTGATTTGGACGCAGGGAAGCTGCTGGTCTTATGAATGGTGTTCTCGCCTTCTCTGGGTGAAAAGCCGAGGCGGGCGGAGAGGCAGCTTGGGGCTCCCCGCCTGAGCGGGCAGCTTCTGCTCCCGGCCAGAGCGAGGGGCAGGTGCCTCTGGCCGCCGCCGGGAGACTTTGAGCGGACGCCCAGATCCCGGACGCAGGGGGGCGGACTGGGCGAGGACATGCGGGGACCAGTCCCCGGGTCCGACAGCCAATTCCTGCCTGCCTTCCTTCCTCCTCCTTTTCATCCTGGCTTCCTTCCTTCCTTCCTTCCATTCGGTGGAACTGTTAAGCCGCCAAGTCCGATCGTGATCGCGGAGCTTCGGAAAACTAGCGTCGCTCTACAAGGGGTGCTATTGGCAATGATGTTGGCAGAGGAGAGCTCCCCTCCCGATCGCCGCGCGACGTGGGTCGGGGTCCGCGCCTCTGGGACCAGGACTTCCCAGCTGGGCTGGAAGCCGAGGGCGAAGGGAGGGGGAGGTGCGGGTGGGGGGCGTTTCATGCAGAATTCTCCCGGGTGTGTGGCCGATGCCCGTGCAGGTTCTTTCAACTCAGCACACCGCGTTGGCACCCCGGGGTCCTCCTGGAGTTGAAAACCAGGTTCGCACCGGGGGCGGGGGAGGGGGGGCGGCAGGGGGGCCGTTCCTAGCGCGAAGGAACGCGCGAGGGTAATCGGACGTGTTTGCACCAGTTTATCTCCCATCAGTAATAGGGAAAAAGGTAGTAATATCCCCGGTATCGGAGTTTTACATGTACATATATATTAAAGCTGCCGTTAAGAGGATCCTGGAAGCTGATGTTCATCACAGAGCAGCTCCCGGCTTTAGTTCTCGCTCGCAGGCTCGGATACACTGCACTTGAACGCCACAGCGTTTCACCCAAGAAAGAAAATGTTTTATGGCAGAATAAATGGGCGTAACTTCGCCGCATCCTCGCTCCCAGTCGCTCGCGCAGCCACACCGCTGATGCTGAGTTTCTACTGAACCTACAGCTGATTTGCAGTTTCCCCATTTCCAGCCGAAATCACATAGGCGGGCCGCTGCCACCTGGTAAACTCAAGTTAGAGAAATCTATTTCATATGTGCGCCAGGTTTGTTTCCTACTGGGAAAGCGGTACCATCGTTACCCTGGAGCCCGCTCACGCGCGGGCAGGCGCAGTATCTCTACGCTCCAGGGTTTCCCAGCTCGCTCCAGTTTTTTGTTTGTTTGTTTTTTGAACTGCAGAAGGGTGCGTGTTTGGCGAGGGTGTCTGAGTGGGGTGGGGTTAGAGGTGGAGGAAGGGACAGAGCATAGGGCTGGTTTAGTGGAATTAGTTCTGAATTATTATACTTGTACTTTGTATAATTAGAGACAGTTGCAATGAGATGTTTTGTAATTCTGTGTCACCACACACACACACGCACACGTACGCACGCACACGCACGCGCTAGCATATACACAACACCCTTGCCTGCTTTTTCTAGATGGGAGTTGAGTGGTCATTTTTAATTAGCCCCTCCTTTTTGCATCCCAAACCCTTTCCCTGGAGGTAAGGGGGTGTAAACAATACCCACCCCCTCTCCCCAACTAGCCGAGCCTCCTGCGCTCCGGACGGTTTTTAAACTCCTAATGCAGCAGCACAGGCGTTATTATTGGGAGACCTACACCATCTGCCTTTATTTTTGAAAACAACTTGTTTAATAAAACATCTTACACATTTCATTTGTTTTTTAAAAGTTGCTGATCGGGAAACAATACACACGTAAATAAATTATGCATGGGATAAATTAGAACAAAGCGCAGAGACACATCCAGCTAAAGGGTTGGATGGTGGTGTTGGGAGGAGGGGAGCAGGGAGAATGGTTTGGAGAGCTAGGTTTTTATCCTCTTGTGTCCCTCCTGACAATGAAACGGAGCTGAACGACATTAGCATTTTCTCTGTGTGCGCCCGAGTCAGTCTCTCCCTTTCCTAAAAAAAAAAAGCCAACAACACGGACGCCCCCTACAGAAACCAGTCACACAAAGGTTTCCTCTAGGATTGGGGAATAAAGTGGTGGTAGGTTAATATGCTGGGGAGAAACAAGCTCAGGTTTCATGCAACACCTCCGTGGGGCTCTGCCTACCCTGAGTATGAACTATTTTTCATTATACTGGCTTTTCCATGTGGGACATTTAATAATTCAGTAGCTCGGGTGACTGGATAGTACAATTTGAATCTCATTGCTTTGGTGTCTTCCTTAGGGTCCCAAGCTCCTGGAACCACATCTCCTCTCTTAGCAGTTTGGCTTTCTTCCTGCCTGTCTTTGATCTCCCCTCAACTCCTTTCTTATTCCTCCTCCTTGTACCCTTCACCCCCTTTCTCTCTGAAGCTGACAGCCTGGCTTCTCTCTGTTGGCGCCTTTAACATCTTATTACTGCCCAACAGGGTGTTAGAGGCAGAAACAGGAGCCGCCTGGACTGATCAGATCACAAAGAGGACACGGCGGGTGGCCCCACAACCAAGCAGTCACATCTGGACAAATAGAATTTAAAAGCATTGATAGACTTGTATGATGTGTAAATGGGTATTACACATTATTTAATTTAGCAGCTACATTGTCTGAGCTTAGATGTGTGAGTAACCCTCATTTCTTACATGGACAAGCAAAAGAAGGGCTATGTAGTGAGGTAAAACCCATGCAGGTAACATAGATATGGGTTTGGTAAAGGTCTATGTAGAAGTAAGTCACATAACATATTCTGGTTGATTTCTGCATACGTAGGAAACATGATGCTTTTAATATAAATTCTAATCTTACTCAATATTCTAGTTCAAGTAAACCACCTTCCCCCAAATCTGCTATCAACACTTTAAACAACTTACTCTTTTATTAAGTTATCAAAACCCTGGTTTGTATGCACTTAACTGGGAATGTCTGCCACCTTCTGCCAGACTTGATTATGCACATATGTATCTATTATTATAACTGCCTGCTTAGAAAAGAATAACTTATTATTATTTAATTATTCTATATAAACCAACAGGGCTTTTCCCAAGTAACTATTTGTTTAAAAAGAATGAGACCAGCACACTATTTTGTCATGCTTCTAACTGTGAACATACAAATACATTACTGTATTGAAACTTTCTTTGGTAAGGAGTTTCCCTGGCTTGGAGGTATGTGTCTGTATCTCTGTTTTGTTATTAAGGAACAATTCTGGGAGAAGTAAATACACACTTACTTAGCCAAGGTCAAACAGCAGGTCATGTTTGTAGATGGACTTCAAATCTTCATCTCTTTATACATCCTATGATCTGGATACACTGTATTATAATCTAAAGTGGTTTTGGTGCCTGTGAAAGTTGTGCAATTGTGGCCACTTACAAGCCAGACCTCACTCTTGCTGTGGCACTCAGTTTAGATATCAGAGAAGAAGGGGTGTGTGTGGGGGGGCCACATTCCTGGTTCTAATCTCCTCTTAGCTCTTTCGGTCGGGGAGTGGGGGAACGTGGGTAGGTACTAAGTGGGGAATATGGAGGTTGGGACTTTGTGAACTTGTAGCCTTTTATGGACATTATTTTAGCCCCTTATGAAAAAGGACCCTCAGATATTTTAAGCCAACAGATGCCTAAGAGCCACCTTCTCCATCTGCTTCTGGTTGCCACTCAAAAAAAAAAAAAAAAAAAAAAACCCTGAATTCCCCAAACTTCATTAGCACACATTATTTTTCAGCAGGAAGAATGTCTGGTTTTGACGATACACCCATGAAGGATATTAATTTCTGCTAGAACCCAAGTAGAGGTATTGTCACAGGGTAAACCTCTGAAAATAGCCTGTCTTGCAGACCACCTGGGAGACATCCAGAGACGGCCAGGAGAATGGGAGCTGCCGAGATCCCTAAGGTGGGCTGGCATTCAGAGGCCACTTAATTGGAGACTTCTCATCTTCCTCTGTGTTTATGCAATCATGCAGGTAGCTGGAATTTGGATACATCTGAGAAAGACCATAGTGTCTAAAGCGGCTTCAGAGCCATCTGCTCAGATCAATGCAAAAAATAAAATGCTATGGTCAGCAGGCTTTGTTTTGCACCAGAAACAGAAAGGAAACTGAGGCAAAGTGCAGCCTCCGCTGATAGTAGTGGCAGTGGGGGCTGGGTCATAAAAAGGCACAGAATCCAGGTCTGTTTATTATCCCAGCCTCTGCAAAGTAACTTTTGTGGTTTTTGAGTGTTCTGAAAGTCAGTGGAAGACAGAAA